ATGGTGAGGGGGGGAGGGAGGGGTGAGAGGGATGGTGAGGGGGGAGGGAGGGGTGAGAGGGATGGTGAGGGGGGAGGGAGGGGTGGAGAGGATGGTGAGGGGGAGGGAGGGGGGTGAGAGGGATGGTGAGGGGGGAGGGAGGGGTGAGAGGGATGGTGAGGGGAGAGGGAGGGGTGAGAGGGATGGTGAGGGGGGAGGAGGGGTGAGAGAGGAGGTGGAGGGGGGAGGGAGGGGGTGAGAGGGATGGTGAGAGGGAAGGAGGGGGTGAGAGGGATGGTGAGGGGGAGGGAGGGGTGAGAGGGATGGTGAGGGGGGGAGGAGGGGTGAGAGGGATGAGGAGGGGGGGGAGGGAGGGGGAGAGGGATGTGAGGGGGAGGGAGGGGTGGGAGAGAGGGATGGTGGAGGGGGAGGGAGGTGAGAAGGAGGGGTGAGGGGGGGTGGGGAGGTGAGGAGGGACTGGAACTCATGGTAGCCTTGTGTATTCTGGGGACATTAATCCTTACTCCATCATTCTCCTCTTATCATCTTCTTCCTCCTTCACTTTCTCCATTCTCTATTCTTCCTCCTCCTTTCTTTCTTCCTCCTCTTCTTTCTCCTCGTCTTCTTCCTCCCTCTGATCAAAATTGTATACCTTCATTTGACACACACGGCAGTGACTAACACCTGGGATTTTACTTCAGTGCAAGACGAATATTTTCTGACCTCACACACCTGTGAGAGAGAGAGAGAGACTACCCACCACTACCCACATTACCCCGACTACTCTACACACTACCCACATTACCTGACTACCCACACTACCCACACTACCCACAGGTCCTGTTCAACACGCCCCATTGCCACAGCCTCGGTCTAGTCCGATGACACCACAAAGTTCTCGTATAATCCAGTTAAGGCAAAGTTTGAGGCACTTAGTGGAGGAGGAGGAGGAGGAGGAAGATGGAGGAGGGGGGAAGATGGAAGGAGGAAGATGGAGGAGGGGGAAGATGAGGAGGGGAAGATGGAAGGAGGAAGATGGAAGGGAGGAAGATGGAGGGGAGGAAGATGAAGGGAGGAAGATGGAAGGAGGAAGATGGGAGGAGGAAGATGGAAGGAGGAAGATGGAGGAGGGGAAGATGGAAGGAGGAAGATGGAAGGAGGAAGATGGAAGGGGAGGAAGATGGAAGGGGAGGAAGATGGAAGGGGAGGAAGATGGAAGGGGAGGAAGATGAAGGAGAAGATGAAGGGGAGGAAGATGGAAGGGAGGAAGATGGGAGGAGGAAGATGGAAGGGAGGAAGATGGAGGGAGGAAGATGGAAGGGAAGGAAGATGGGAGGAGGAAGAAGGAAGAGGAGAAAGATGGAAGGGGAGGAAGATGAGGGGAGGAACATGGAGGGGAGGAAGATGGGGGGGGAGGAAGAAGGAAGAGGAGGAAGATGGGAGGGGAAGGAAGATGGAAGGGGAGGAAGATGGGAGGAGGAAGATGGAAGGGGAGGAGATGAAGAGGAGAAAGATGGAAGGGGAGGAAGATGGGAGGAGGAAATAGGGAGGAGGAAGATGGAGGAGGGGAAGATGGAAGGGAGGAAGATGGGAGGAGGAAGATGGAAGGAGGAAGATGGGAGGGAGGAAGATGGAAGGAGGAAGATGGGAGGAGGAAGATGGAAGAGGAGGAAGATGGAGGAGGAAGATGGAAGGGGAGGAAGATGGGAGGAGGAAGAAGGAAGAGGAGAAAGATGGAAGGGGAGGAAGATTGGAGGAGGAACATGGGAGGGGAGGAAGATGGGAGGAGGGGGAAGATGGAAGGAGGAAGATGGGGGGGAGGAAGATGGAAGGGGAGGAAGATGGAAGGGAGAAGATGGAAGGAGGAAACATGGGAGGGGAGGAGGATGGAAGATGGAGGGGTAGGGAAGATGGAGAAGGAGGAAGATTAGAAGATGAAAGAGAAGGAGGAGGAGGTAAGAAAGAGGAGGGGGGAGAGGATATGAATAAGAAAGAGACCAAAAAAATGAGGAGTAAGAGAGAGAGAGAGAGAGAGAGAGAGAGAGAGAGAGAGAGGTCTGGGTGAAGAACATGCTAATCAACGCTCGACTGAATGTAAATTAACCATCGATTTTTTACCTCTAATCTGACTGATTTACCCGGAGAAATTATATCACGAATTTTAAGCTACGTCAGCTGGAGGTGGAATTTAAGCTGGTTAGCTGAAAAGGACTTTAAGATGTTTCGTTAGCTGGAGAATGGATTTAAGCCTTGTGTTAGCTGCAGGAAGGCTTTAAGCTTTTTGGTTAACTGAGGAAGGATTTTTAGCTTTGTGGTTAGGCCGAGGAGGATTTGCTTTTGAAACACCAACCTCCTCTTCCTGTTCCTGTTCTTCCTCTCATCCCACCCCATCTCCTCCTTCACACATATAAGTTTTGTGGTTCGCTAGGGATGGATTTTGACTTGGCTAGGTTAAGTTAGGTAAAGTAGGTAAGGAAGTAGTAATATGGCTGGTGGTGTAAGAAATAGTAAGAGTAGTGGTATAAGTAGTAGTAGTAGTAGTGGTATAAGTAGTAGTAGTAGAATATGGCTGTTGGTAGTAAGAAATAGTAATAGTAGTGGTATAAGTAGTAGTAGTAGTAGTGGTATAAGTAGTAGTAGTAGTAGTAATATGGCTGGTGGTAGTAAGAAATAGTAATAGTAGCAGTGATGATGAGGGAGGCGGCGTCACTGCCAGACCGACCATCACCTCGACATAACAACTTTAATGGTAAGCCAATTTTGCTGCGACTGTTGAAGGACCACACGTGACTACTGCTGTGTCTGTTAGACCCTTACACACACACACACACGTACTACTGCTGTGTCTGTTGTGACTCTTATACACACACACACACGGGTAATAACTCACTTGGTTCCACTCTCTTGTATTAAAAGTATTCACACAATTTCAACCTTTTTTTTATGATGCTGTGTTGGTGTGAGTTATTTTTATTGTTTTATGTTGTACCTCCAAGAACAGAGAGAGAGAGATACATACATACATACATACATAGAGAGAGAGGCATACATACATACCTCAAATTATCTCAAAAATAATAAACAGTGAAACGGAGTAGGCATTAAGACTCACCCTAAAGCACCCCAGAAGATGCATAAAATATAACAGGTTGTATCGGGGACATAAACTAGGCCCATTGCTCTCGTAAATTCAGGCTCTTGTCTTCATCATTATGGAAATTCTACTTTAGTTGCTGGTGTTTCTTATGCCTCGCCTTGTTGCTTGTGTTAGAAGGAGGTGGTGGGGTTTTGCGTGAGGTGATTGTTTGTTTTGGTGCGTTTTAGTGTGTGTTTTGTTTAGCTTGTAGGTGAGATAATATTTTGTATGTAGTGATGATAGTGATGTTACTACTAATAATACTAATTACTACTACTACTACTACTACTACTACTACTACTACTACACACACACACAACAGACAACAATAAACACACTGTCCATAAATTTAATAATAACTCAAAATATGTTTTACTTGGCCACACACTTGTCACCCTCCCCACACCTTGTATAATTTAGTGTGTGGTGGTGTGGTGTTTGTCCTCTGCACCATGGGTATGTCTGTCTCTCTGTGTCTGTCTGTCTCTCTGTGTCTGTCTGTCTCTCTGTGTCTGTCTGTCTCTCTGTGTCTGTCTGTCTCTATATCTTCATTCCGTACTCTCGAACCTCTTCTTTCCCTCCTTTGTTCACCCCCCTTACTCTGCCCTGAAAAGGAGAGAGAGAGAGAGAGAGAGAGAGAGAGAGAGAGAGAGAGAGTTAGAGTGTCGAACAAGAAAGAATATATTGAATCTCTCCGAATACAGATCTGTCAATATTGTCTCTTTTCCTTGTCCTCCCTCCTCTGTCTTCTTTTCTTCTTCCTCGTCTCTCTCTCTCTCTCTCTCTCACCTCCTCCCTTCCCCTCTCCTTTCATCCCTATCTGTCCTCCTCTTCCCTCCGGATATTGTACACACACACACACGCACGCACACACACACACACACACACACACACACACACACACACACACACACACACACACCCTAGGTCCGAACACACCCAGGTTGTAGATTCCACGAAGCCTCGGCGTCACCATAGACAACAAACTAAATTGGAAACCACACGTCAGTGAAGTTGTCAACCTCCAGTCGTCTCCACCTCCCCCGCCGACTCAAGTCCCTCGAGTTCCCGCACCCGAGCTCCTCAGTGTTTACACAACATTCATACTTCCCAAGCTCACCTATGCCTCCCCACCTGGTCTTCCTCCCTAAATGCCACACAACGTAAACAACACCTAGAAAAAAGTGCAAAAGAGGGCATGCAAGATTATTCTCTCCCTTCCTACTCCATATCAAGAAGGCTCAACACACTGACCCTCTGACTCTCACTGACCATCACCACGACCTCATCTGCAAATTTGGTAAGAAGTTTACACCATCCCCGACACCGGCCCCTACTACCACCTGAGATCCCTGTCCGAGAATTGCTGTTCGACACCACAACCGCATCCAGCCCATACGTGCACGAACTGATCGCTATAAGAACAGCCCAGTCCCAACCATTGTAAAAATTATCAATAACATGTAATAAATCAGTGTATTCACTCCCAGTAAACACTGCTCCCTACACTGTCACTATGTTGAAATGAACTGTATTTTGAGTTACTATATGTCTTATTTGTGTCACTTATGTCACTTGTATATTATTTGTAATTCGTAACCCATTCCCCAAATATGTAACTGTATATTTTCAGCCTTCTGGCTGCAGCTCTTTCAATAAACCGTTAATTATATATTATTATTATTACACCTTCTGACTGAGTTATTTATTTTCAGACGGTGTGGCTACTGACTCACTGACTTTCACACTGACGGAACAACTGTCTGAATGCACTGATGATATTATTATTATTATTATTATTATTATTATTATTATTATTATTATTATTATCCATTATTGTTTATCTATAGATTATCAATTATCATTATTATTCTTCTCTTTCTTCAGGTTATTATGATAGGGGCGAGTGAGAAGCAGGCATCCCTCCCTTGGGTACTGGTGCCAACAAAACCACGCTTGTGATTGGTGGTGTCGCGGGTGGAAGGAGGAGCCACGCTTGCGATTGGTGGTGGAGGAGGAGGCAACCACGGGGAATCTCTCTAACCTGATTGGCTGACTGAGGATCACGTGTTAAGATGGGAAAGGCCAATGATAAGAAGACTCACCGTAGCGATAGTAGTAAGTGTGGAAGTAAGTTAATGTTTACTGATTGACGAGACGATGATTATGTGTAGTTAATTGTGTTGAGAGAATTAATTAAGAATCCCTCGTATGTAATTACTTAAAAAACCCCGTCTATAATTAGTTAGAACCTCGTATATAATTAATTAAGAATCCCTCGTATGTAATTACTTAAAAAACCCGTATATAATTAGTTAGAACCCCCGTATTATAGTACTTTAGAACACCTGTAGACAGCAGCTCGTTAATTGTGCACCCAAAAAATACTCCTCGTGTGTTGAGCAGCGCAGAAAGAGTATTACAGTACAGAGGTCACCAAGTGTTACTGAATGCTGTCGAGGATTACAGTACAGAGGTCACCAAGTGTTACTGAATGTTGTCGAGGATTACAGTGTTTGGTTACTTCTGAACATAGGTGTTGATTTATCTACACACCTGTTTGGGTGATATACTGTAATGAAGGAGAGAGAGAGAGAGAGAGAGAGAGAGAGAGAGAGAGAGAGAGAGAGAGAGAGAGAGACCACCTTTCCTCCGCCACACCAGGTACATAATTAGGCAAACAATGCACAAAACTTGTCTTCAATATCGACTCATCTTAGTGTTGTTTCTCTCTCTCTCTCTCTCTCTCTAAGAACACACACACACACACACACACACACACACACACACTAAACCCATTTATATCAACAAAACTAGCAAAGAGTTGAGACACCAAATTGTGTTCCCTGAAGCAGGAATGATATCCCTGAGCTGGGCCTCCAACACCTGAGATTGGTGGAGGGGGGGTGATGGAGAAGGGTTTAAGGGGGAGGTTGTGGTGGGGAGAGGGTGTTGGAGGGTGACGAAGGTGGTGAGATGGTGGAGGGTGACGAGGTGTGGAGATGGTGTTGAGGGTGACGGAGGGGTGGTGGGAGATGGTGTTGGAGGGTGACGGAGGTGGTGAGATGGTGTTGGAGGGAGAGGGGTGGTGGAGATGGGTGGAGGGTGACGGAGGTGTAGAGATGGTGTTGGAGGGAGGAGAGAGGTGGAGAGGTGTTGGAGGGAGAGGGGGTGGTGGAGATGTGGAGGAGAGGGGGGGGTGTAAGAGGTAGGATGGAGGGGTTAGGTTAGTCAATTAGCCACCCAACACACTAGCCACTCAGCCAGCCAGCCAACACACCAGCCAGCCACTTATACAGCCATCCAGCCAGCCAGACAGCCAGCCACTCAGCCAGCCAGCCACTCAGCCAGCCAGACAGCCTGAGAGAGCTGCCGCCGCTACATAAGCCTGTAGGAGCCTGACTCATGGTCTGTTTTCCATAATTTACATAACTCAGACTATGTCAACAATGGGGCCATCTGTGTGTGTGTGTGTGTGCGTGTGTGTGTGCGTGTGTGCGTGTGTGCGTGTGCGTGCGTGCGTGAGGAAGGGTGCAGAAACCGGTATATCAACATATTTCTAACCTTGCTCCAGCGGCCGTTCTCAGTCATTGCTATTTTGAGGTCCTCTTACACACACACACACACGCACACACACACACACACGCACACACACACACACGCAATAAAACAATAAACAGTTGTATATATAAATGTATGTTTATATAGGTAAATATAGACAGACAGACAGACAGACAGACAGACACATGTGTTCATCATCTCAGCCGTTGTTAATAAAATCCATGAACAAGATGAACATTTTTATTTGAACTTATAACACAATATAAAGCATAAGGTAGACATAACACAGAAGCCATAATGGACTACAGAAACGTAATAAATTTTTCAGCCATATTAGCCATTCAAATATAGCCATAGTAAATACCATATTATACCATGAAAAATTTAGCCATAATACTTGATATAATGAAGACATAAGGGGATAATATACTTCTTTAGCCATATTATAAGTAGAATATAGTAATAGGTCAGCCATATTAAGATATACAATATACCCAATATATTAGTTCAGCCATATAACTCATATTTTTTCTATCTGATGTATAAATTGATTAATATTATGGAAATAGGTTTATATGTACGTATATCGTCCCCATTTCGTTGTAATTGGGTTTAGTTAATAGTCGATATTCCTTACTAATTTAGCTTTAATTGGGTCTAAATAATAGTCAGATATACCTTCCCTATTTAAGTATAACTGAAATAACACGAATATATATACTATATCTTATTTTGGTGGGCTGTGTGTAACGCTAGTAGGTAGATATAGCCAATAGCCTTTACAGTATATATGTGTGTAGGTATATAGCTTAGGGGAGTTATATAGGAGGCTACTGAAGGCTAAGGCTATATGCTATGTTCTTAGCTCTATAACCGTATTGGTAAGGAGGCTATACTGGAGGGGTCAGGTGTGTGTGTATGTATGTATGTATGTATGTATGCTCAGTGAAATACGTGATTTAAAGTACCACCACGACAAACCAACCCTGATATAGACCCCTTAAAATAATTCCAGGTTACACAGTAGACCTACACATCACTACACACATACGGACAATAAATATATCAAATATTGTTAGAGGTTTTATAAGTGGACAAAAACATAAGTGCATTTAAGTAATTGAAATAACATCAGGTAGTTTAATGTACTTTTGATCTAAGTTATTGTACTTTTAATTAACTTTTTGATTATTTTAATTGCTGGTTGTGGGTTATGAGTTGTTAAATTGTGTTGTTGTAAAGAGGTTGTGTTTACATATTGTTTGTTATTGTTGTGGTTGTAGTTAGGTTGTGGTGGTTGTTGGAGGTGTTTTACAAATGGGAAAGTCAGGTTATAATCTCTGGGGTTGTGAATCCATAAGGTTATATAATACACTTATTCATCTCTATTGGTAACTTAAATTTTAGTTGTGACCTGTTAATGACCTGTAATTACCTGTATTGGTGGTTATTTATTGTATACAGGTCATTCATTACTTATCATCTCTACTAACTACACAAGACATAACCCCCTCTCAGTAACCACTATAATAAACATTGCTTCTCCGGGGTCATGGTTTACCTGTAGCAATTAAAACTCACTCACACTCCTCAACGTTTACCAAGACCTGAGGTGAAGGACTGTGCTATTTGACGCTGGACTGCCGAGATGTATTCAGGGGAGCAGAGATTAGTGTCAAACCAAGCTCCTGTACAGCCCACTTCCTCAAAGCAGTTATCTCGGGCTGATTGGGTCGAAGCACTACAGCACAAGACGATGCTCCATAGACAAGGGTTCTGTTGCTGGGCTGTGTTTGCTGTTGTCCTGTTAACGGGAGAGGTTTTGGTTAGTAAGCTATTGTGTTGTGTCCTTTGGGTAATAGGCTTTATATAGGGACGTCTTATAGATATTATAATGAGGAATTTATAGGCTGTGTGTGTGTGTGTGTGTGTGTGTGTGTGTGTGTGTGTGTGTGTTTTGTAGTAGTAGTAGTGGTGGTGTTGGCTTAACATGTCTGGACTTGTCGCCTGAAAGTCAGCTGGTACGAGTGTAAACAAACTCACGCGGTGCAAGACGTGTGTCAACAAGGTATAACACACACACACACACACACACAGTCTCGCTCTAATGTACCGGTCGGCAGATTTCGCGTCAAATGAACATCCCAACAGATTTCATTGGCCATCAGATTTAACAAATGAATGAAAGAGAGGATTTTACGCTACAGATTTGGTATAAATTGTTAAATGAATAACTCTACAGTACTCACGCCTGTCGTTGTCGTGGACCCAAACCAGTTCTGTCGTGGCTGAAGGCGTATTCCCACACATTATACACCTGGTTAGTTGATGGTGGCTCTTGTCTCCCGATCCTCTGTGGGTTGGCTCCTGTATCCACCACCACCACCAACAGGCATACCGTCACAAGTGTTTTCCACCACATCTGTTGGCAGAGAGGAAAAAAAAACATGTTATAGGATGACAGTTGTTTTTTTTGCTGGACATCTGTTAAATAAAGGTATTATTTGTTGACTTGGAAACACAGTACAGGTGTTTTTTTATGACACCTGTGAGATAAATTCTGTGTTCGATGACAACTGTAGGGCGTGGAAAACACCTGTGTTATGGGGTTGATAAAGGTGTTTTCATGACACCTGTAGGAGGGAAACTGGTGTGTTGATAATTATGATAAGACGAAGAAGAAGAAGGAGGAAACTATTTTCTCATTTGACCTTTGACCTTTTATTCCAGAGGTCAAATGTGCCTTATGTCTTATGCATGTCTCCGATTGGCTGGTGGGCTGGTGTAATGGCGTCTGATTGGCTGTGGGAGGATGTGGTGGTATGTAATTTGATTGTGACCTGTTAATGACCTGTATAGTGATCTGTTAATGAGCTTTGGTGACCTGTATAGTGGTGACCTCTGATAGGTGACTCTTAATACCTTATAGTCCTAAACAACATATTGATTTTTGACCCCAATGTGTACAGGTCTTCTCTCTCTCTCTCTCTCTATCTCTCTCTCTCTCTCTCCAACTACTCCTTCAGCCAATCACAGTGCAGGAGAGTAATTAGGTTACTTCCGGTGTGTCGAGGTAGTGGGAAGGTAAATTAGTCGTTAAGTCAACTACCTGCTGAGGCACAGGTGTCGTTTAGGTCGTGCTAAGGGTCGTGTGAGAGAGAGAGAGAGAGAGAGAGAGAGAGAGAGAGAGAGAGATAGTCAAATTAATCTCCTGGGCAGTGATTGGCTGTAGACAGACTCGTTTGTGGGGAGATGATGAGGGTAGGAAAGAGAGAGAGAGAGAGAGAGAGAGAGAGAGAAAAGTAAAGAAAGACAAAGGAGAGAGAGAGAGGATGTGGACAGGTCGATATATGTGTGTGTGTGTGTGTGTGTGTGTGTGTGTGTGTGTGTGTGTGTGTGTGTGCTGGAGGGTAGAGGTGGCCAGTGTGTGTGTGTGGAGGGTAGGGTGTGTGTGTGTGCTGGGAGGGTAGAGGTGGCCAGTGTGTGTGTGAGGGTAGAGGTGGCCAGTGTGGTTCGTCCTGGAATATTGGATCCTCTTGATGTACGTCCTTAGTTTCTTGAGTAAATCA